AATGAATTGCAAGCAAACCAACAAGAGATGAACAAACAAGCCCAAGAAATTCAGCAATTAAAACAAGAGTTATCTTTAACCAATAAGGTTTTGCCAGGAAAAAAAGCAAATTGTAAAAAAGATGACTGAGAAAATTCACCTAAAAAGGAAACAAGAGTAAATAATAAAACCCAAGGAATCCAGACCAACTTATACTAATTCTTTTTTGTCAAACCTGTTATTAACTTCTTTAATCTTAAAAGATGATATATTCATTATATTATTCTAAATTTGACAGCAAATTTTTTCTTTACTGATCCTTCTTTTTTCTGGGTTCTGTGTAATGTTCTTAGTGTTTATTATTTTTCTTTCTTGTTGGTAAATTTCATAGGTGATCCTTTCCTTCCTTAGATAAGTTTCCAGTGTCTGAGTATCATTTATTTTAAAAATATATGAGCAATTTTCTCGCCTTGTTCACTTTTCAAAATACACACTTTTAATGCTGTAATTTTTGGGTTCCATGGTAGATGTTAACATGATCATGTTACATTTGTAATACTATTGAATCCTGTAATCCTGGTAATACCAATGTTCGCTTTGTCTGATTTTGTTGGAGTATGCTCCACTAAAAAAACATATACATTCATGAGTTCATAGACTTGTTTGTGAGCTTACTCACTTATTCATGAGTTTTACCCATTCATTCACAAGAGTTGCTTGCCTTTTAAAAAGTGTTTTCTTTGAAATATATATTTATGAAATGTTTTTTTGTGATTATTTTATTATTAATGCGGCAAAAATTTAAAACTAGGTGTTCATATAAAAGTCCAGCGATTCCACCAAGCTCGTGAAAAATTCTCGATGTGAGCTATCAAATCATATAATTAAATTTAACATAAAGTCGGATTTGGCCCAACTCGGTCAAAAATTCCCTGATAGTAATAGGCTCTAGCCAGATAAGTTGATCCATGTGATTTTTGTAAAAAAAATTTATCTTTGAATAATATATTTATTATCTCAATTTTATCAATTTTATCATTTGATAATTTAGAAGGAATAATATATTTTATTGCTATCAATTATATCAGAACATTTTGTTTGTATCATGAACAATTATCAAAAAATAGGTTGAGATTTAAATGGAAAACAGAGAAATTCTTTAAAACAAAATAGCATGGATAATAGTAATTTTTTGGTTTATTTTTAACTCAGATTCCTTGATAAGTCGGATCACCTTATCAAGTTTACCAGTATATTTTGACCCGATAACAGAATTTACGGATTTCTTTGTTTAGGAATAAATTAAAGGATCTCCAAATAAAAGAACCAAACTTCACCAACTAAAACTTTTTAACTCTCTAATAATGCAATAAATAAATAAAATTGATTAAATAGATTGAAAAATTGATAAAATAATTAAATTGATGAAAATAAATACGTACAAAAAAATTAATTCGTGTTGGAGACGAAACTCCGACTGGCTAATTTGAATTCACACATGTCAATTTAAAATTTGAATTTGACGCAATAAGGAGTATTTAAAGATAATAATAATAATAATAAATAGTAATAATAATAATAATAATAAATAATAATAATGTGATTGTTTCGTTTTTATCAATGAGGCTAAAAATCGGCCAATCAAAAGAATCTTTATTTGACAATAAGAATCATTGTTCTTATTAATCGGTAGGATGAATTGATTTCTTTTTAACATAGTTCATAGGGTTTATAATGTAGTAAGTATTGGTTCATTTTTATTATATAGTGAGACTATGTTTGAATTAAAAAAAAAACAATTAGTTTGTTCTTTTCTATGTAAATAATTCAAAGAATCATACAATTGCTATTTATAAATCTAAAAAAAAAAGCTCATGACCCATAATTTTGTGGGGGGATGAAGTTTTTCAATTCTTGTAATCGTCGAATTAATGAAGAATGCAAATTACTATTTGAAGAAAGATATTTTCGAAACTGATGTAACGTATTCTACAAGTGCATTAGATGAATCTGATTTAGCAAAACAAAATTTTGGCTAATTTTGAATTATTTGCAGATAATAAACAATCCCATGGTATGTTTTTAGGTGATAGCATCAATGAATATTCATTCCTCGGCCGTTATTTTTAAATACAATTTTTAGTGCAACCAGTTATTATTATTATTCTTTTCACCTACCATATATTTTAGTTAATTTCATTCCCTTGCCCTTGAAAATTTAAATAAATTTAGATTATTGCGAAACACAAATCAAAATCTCTAAAACGCATCAATCCTAAAACCTCAACCCTGAGATCATTTTCCATTTTATTAATAACTACACTATTTATGTTTGCAAGGGATAACGTAATGCAATGCATGAATCCAAGAAATAACCTTTAACAATGAACGATCAAACCATTACTTCTGACTATTTGCGGATTTTTTTTTGGTTGGAAACAGATAAAGTCGCTCGTGCAGAATCAGACACAGCTTCAATCGTCGAAAAAGAAAGCAAGCACATTTAACAAGTGCTTTGCCGTACATTTATTTCCCCGCACATTTTCTTGGAAATAGAAAGTTAATATTAATGTAAAATGTTAAAATGTACTGTTTTTACAGTATTTTGCTATAGTGATGCCACAATAGATTCAAAAATTAATAATTAATAATTAAATAATAATAAAACAACAACGCAAAGCTTACAATACTAGAACCACAATAATTCTAATAACTAGCATTTGTTATTATATATTATTAATTGATTTTTAATATAGATTACAAACAAATTATTTTTATTTGCAAAGTCAATATGAATTAAACATTATTCTATGTTGATTTTGAAGCAATTTTATTAGTTTGAATAAATATTACGACTATTACTTTTCAAGTGATTGACATCGAAACTTTAAATCAATAAAATTAGCCACAACCTTAAATTTGACACGCGGATTTTTTCAGGATTTATTCCTTCAAATTAGGGATTATTAAAATAGAAAAAAGCCTTGCTTGGTGTTAAAGTTTATCAAGCAAATCACCGCATTTAGAAATTAATTATTATTCTGCTACATTTTTCCTATTTGTGTAAACCCATATATTACTATTTTCCATTTTCTCAGCCATTCATCAAGTTTATAAAGGTAAACATTGGATAAAAATCTTAGTACAACTACAACATTACAATATTTAGAAAGTTGTAATGGCAGTTTTATTTTTATGAATCATCAACTGATGTGTGACAAATTGTTCTCGACCGAATACATATACATGACATGTCACAAGATTAAAAATAGTTTTTGTGTGGGATGAAACACTTTTAAAGAAAATAAATTTTTTTATATAATAGTTTAATTTGTTATCTATGGTCTATTTTCTATTTTACTATTTTTTTCTAAACAATAATCACTTTTTAACGTCATAATTCACCTATTGTACGCATGATACATGCGACTCAAAAAGTCAAAACTCACTATTAGAAGCATAATAATAAGTGTAACATTGACAGTTAATATTAACTGTAGGGGAAAAACTCGAAACCGAAACTACTTTAGGGGAAAAATAAAACCCTAAACCAAAACTATAATTCCTTACAAAATTATATTTAGAATTGAATTTGCAGATCACAAAAATTAGTATTAGTATCATGGCTTTCAGTTTCGGATGGGTTTTGAGTAAGCTCTTCTCGCGAAACTGTTTTGGGAGTTCAAAAGAATTTCGGGTTGCAACATTCATAGCATGTCACATTATTCTCTAGATTAGGAAAGTATCGATCAGTTAAAAATAAAACAATTTTCACACCATCTAATCAGTCAATCATCTTTGTCCATCTTCACAAAACATTCACACACAGAATCCAAATTTAAATTTGAATATTGTAATAAGTCGTACCTGAGAAAGTAATGGTGGTCATAAAACATTTTGTATCGGTAAATTCGTATTATTTCTTTTGGTCAATTTGGAAATGCAGATAAATTGGAATTGTTTGCTTTAACTTTGGACAAGGCAAATTTTATAATGTTAAAGAAATTTTAAAAAGTATTTAACGGTTATTATTTATTATCCAGAGAAAAATTTAAGATTAATAATGAAACCCTGGATTTTTTAGCCAAAGAAAATATAGAGCTGCCGATTTGACCAAAAGCAAATGAATTAAAGGAAAAAGGAAAATATAATAATAATAATAACAATAATAGCAATGAAATTGATATTATCACATATTTAAATGAACAGTTCAAGAATGGTATTGTATTAAAGAAAATCGTTTTGATCTTTAATTGCGATAGTTTGTAAATGGCATTTTTATTCAATCTATTGATATATTCTTCCATATACATTTTTACTATACATATATATATATATATACTATATATGTGGGGCTTTTCAAAGCAATTTCGGAACTCTTTATGTAGAAGATTTTTGGACTAGAAAGCATGCCCACTCCCCATAACATTGTTTCCTTGAGATGCAGATCTTTTTTTTCTATTTTTAGAAAAGCTCTCATATCTCATAGTATATATAAAATAAAATAAATGGGGAATTTCTTTTTGCGCCCTTACACATGAAGAGCGCGTAAATTATGTCACGAAAATATTAATTGCGCCAATTTTCAAAAGAGACTGTATCGAATCGTTAAATCCCAAGGTCAACTATAACTTCCAAGATTTAACCTTTTGAAGCAAGGCTTGAACATTCAAAGCTTGTTTTATCACAACCAGTTAAACGAATGCACAAATCAAACAATCCTAAAATAATAATAATAATAATTCTATGAGTATTGTATTTATTTATTTTTTTTTTTTTTTTGTGGAAGATCTTAATTATTTGGGACTTTAATGAAACCTCTGAACAAAGATGGTTTTGGAATTTCGACATCACATAAATAGCAAGATCTGTATTTAAAGGAATGTTACTATGCAAAATGGAGTATTGTTCTAACCCAAGGATGTCCACGCAAGGAATCGAATGTTAATATATAAGGGAGCATTTCTCCCATTTGATTTATATCAAGTAGATGGGTGATATAATAAATTTGATAACTATTTATGGATAAGGTAATTAAAAATTATCGCCATTAAGATGAAACAAATAAATGCGCAAAAAAAAATATTTTTTCGTGTTTGTGTGTATATAGGTAGATAAAGAAAAAGGATCTTAAATTGCCATATTTACTCGGTTATTTATACACATAAATAAAATATAAATAAATATGCATGCTGACGTTTATGCAAAATGTATATCACAGTCATATTTATAATTCTCATTCAACCCACACATTCACATATCCATTTATATCCATTGATTAGATTCAGATAAGATGAACTAAACTTTATTTCGGAAGAAGAAAGCTTAGATTTTCAATTTTATTTTATGGATGATTGTTGGTTGGTTGGTCATGTGTTTATTGATTGATGTATATATATCATTATATCCACACACCCAATTAATGTTGGTTAATTGAATGCGCAGTAGTTAAATAACCAATCGGAATCACCATTATTCATATTTTAATTACTTTTCTTTATATGGAACCGTAAAATATTAAATGATAAATATGGATACAAATGAAAAAGGATTACACATAATTATTATTTATTATTAGTCTTTATTTATATAATATCGATTAATTTAATCATTGTGTGAAAAAGATAAAATATGGTAATTTTGATTCCTTTTGTGAAAATTTCTTTTTAAATATGTTAATTAATGTAGTAATAACAATTTTCATTTTATTGTTGTATAAAAAGCCGAACGCGTGACCAATATTATCTATTTGTTCCTACTGAAAAAGGCATATCACATACGTTATCTATCCTGAGTAGGTACCGAGTTATAAATTTATAATGAATCATTTAAATTGTTTACATTTATGTATGACGGACGTTACATGCACATACATGTCGTTTATCATTTAAAGATTTTGGTGCTGCTGATGATATGATATTTATTATTATTATATATATATTAAATAATGATATATTCTGCGGCAAGAACAAAGACAAAATATTTCAGGGTCCAATGTGATGAAATTTTTCAATCGTACCATTTGATTCGTTGTCTTTTATACAAAGGAGATAATTCCCGTAAGAAGAAAGAGTAATAATGGAAGGTGAAAATTGAAATTAAGTTAAGCCAATCAAAAGAATTCTCTCATCCACAACACATATTCAAGAGACTTTCAAAGAATAGTAAGTAACTGATTGCAGAACTAAATAAAATTATTCATTAATATTTAATATATTATATTTTATTATATTTATATTTTACATATTTGTGTTTATGTTTATATATAATATTTATTATATATTTATATTTATATCTTATGTTTATAAATATTTGTTTGTTTATTTTTGGGAAAATGATAGTGAGTCTTTATCCTCATTATAATGATAGATTGATAATTTGGGAGACTGGTTAATGTTCCAATGAAAAGATCACGCACGGTATATTAACTGAACTTTCCTTTATCATATAAAACTGACTGATAGGATACAAAATCTCTTGGATCCAAATATTTCTCCCTCTCGATATATTAATTAAAAAGATTTTTATGGTGGTGTCGAGTAGATTTTCATACTTTAAAACTAGCCCCTAAAGTTTTTTTTGTGGCGTTATGTTAAAAAAAAATTATTATTACAAATATCAAATATGAAATCAAATGGTTTTGTTTATTTTTCGAGCCCTTTTTTGTTCTTTATTATGATGACATTTATCATTTATTATTTTTAAATTTCATTTTATTAATTATTTCAACCAATAAAATCTTTTGAAAGGATCAATTTATTTTTTTTTTTTTTTTTTGTTCCGATGGAATTGATAAGTTTAAAAAAAAAACTTTTATATCATCAGTGTTTTACAATATTAAATATAAATAAATAAAATAAATAAAAAATTTTTTGTATTTTATTTTTTTTATTTCAAAAAAACGTATATAATAAATAAATAAAAATAACATTAAAAAAGAAAAAAAAAAAATTTTTTTTTCATAAAAAATTTAAAATTAATAAAAATTTCATTCTCAAACTCAACTTTTTAAATTTTTTTTTTCTTTCTAATAATTCAAGCTTTTTTATATAAACTTTACATATAAACTAATTTATATATATATATAATACACAAACACACAATATATAATATAAATAGGTTGAATACTTGTGTAAGTGAGTAAAAATATTATTTTGATTACTTCTCTCTCTCTCTCACTCTCTCTATAATTTTTACTTTAATTCCAACTAATCTCACTTTCATTTTTTTTTACTAATAAATTATAGATATTATAACGAATAGCATTATTTATATAATATATAAAATATATATATATATATATAAATTGAAAATTTAAACTTTTCTATATATAATGCGTTTTTGGCAACAAACTTATAATTATCCATTTGTTTCAGGAGGGAATAATAATAATAATAGTAATAACAGTAATAATATAAACATCAACAATAATACCCACGATTTAGAAATATTAAATAACACTACTTTAAATTTTGCACGTCCTCAATCACCATCTCATACCGCTTCAACAACTGCTACCCAAAAAAAAATACGTGAACTACCGAGGATTATTACCAATTTTTCTAAAATAAAATCATGGAATCTACATCAACAACAAAAAAATCAACAACAAAAAAATCAACAACAACAACAAGAACAACAACAAGAACAACAGCCACAACAATTACCGCAACCATTACAACCGCAGCCACAACTAAAAGATGAAGTGGAAAATAACTTGACTTCCAATAATAAAAACAACGACAACAATAAAAAGAGTAATAATAGACAGTCTGTACAATCAGTGAGATTTGCTTTGGACCCTAATCATTCAAAGAGACATCAAAAATCTGAATCAGACCATCATATAATTACTGATGTTAACAAAAAAAATAACAACAAACGATATAAAACGATGAGAAGGTCTTCTGCTCCTGTGACTGGATCATTAAATAATAGTATTGGCAATAACAACAACAACGACAACATCAACAA